TTATTCTTTCCCTTCCCTTCAGCCTACTTATGAACCCCCAAGGCACCCTGGAAGCTCTCTGCTCTCTCTGTCGACAATTTTGCGGCGGTCGAGCCCTCCTTTGCGTTCGGCTTTGCTGCGTAACTTCGTTTACTCCGTGGCTCGTCTCAGGACGCGTCATGTGGGTCTGGGTAGCAGCGTGAAGAAGGCCGATAGGCTGGCAAAGAAGAAGGATAAGAAGAAACAAAAGCGTGGGGGGTCCGACAAGAACGATCAGAAGGGCGCTACTGAGAGGCGTATTGCAGCGTTGGCATCCAAGTTCGCCGGTGTTATTGGGGCTGCTGAAGGCGCTACTGAATCGGAAAAGAAGTTGGCAAAGTTTCTATTGGTGCCATTCAGGAGGCTGGTGCAGGAGACAGAGGAGCTCCTATCGGACATTGCAATGAACGGCGATGCGGAGGTGATGATCGTTGCTCTAGACCGGCTCGCTCCCCCGCTTGTACGAGGCTTGTCTTACCTAGAGGCTCCTCAGAGTGAAGGGGCAGCCGAGGTCCTGGAGCCGGCTCGGGATCTTCTGCTAGAGAGGGCCAGGGAGTTGGATACTGTTCTGCTCGAGGCACAGGCTGACCCAGAGGGAGTATTGCGTACATATACCAGGGACTTCACTGAGCATGAAATTGAGAGAGAAAAGCAGTTGGCCGCTCTAGAATCAGGCCCTAATCAGGAACCGGACATTCCTCCTATTCATGGGGGGATCGAGGCGGGAACATATGAAAACAAACTTCGAAAGCAAGCCCAGTTTGCTCTATTCTTGTCCTTGTTTCTGACGTTTACTACAGTCATGACAGCCATAGCTCTCATTCCTCCTGTGGTGTCGCATGAACAAGAAAAGAGCGGCAACCGAGGGGGTACGCACCGCCGCCGCCGGGGCAAAGATAAGGGCGACTCATCGGGGGGCCAAGGAGGCAGCGGTGCAGATTCAGCTGGGGGGGGTGGGAGTGGGAGACCACCTCTTGAAGAAACCCTCGTGAGGCATCGCGACTGGATTCGGGAACAGCGGCACGCATTTTCCCAAACCGCTCCTGAGCACACTGGTCTATTCGAACATCCAGTTTCTCCTGGGCCCTATACGGGGGGTCATTTCGTACGCGAGCCTGGTTCTCCTCTTACACCCACTGCGTTTCCACCGCACTACGCGGAGCCATATAATGTTCATTTTCCGCCTCCTGGTCCTTCTGCTCCCCCCATGGGGCCTCCATTCCAAAGAATTGTTGTTCATCCTCCACCGCCACCATATGAGGAGGCTATGAGGCCTGAGCAAACTCCACAGTGAATCAGCCGCATACACAGTTGACAGTGTTTGGGGGGGGAGCTTCCCCCATGTTTTATTATATCTGTCCAAACCGCTCTCTGTTTTATTAAGCAGAAACAGAGGTACCCGAAACGGGGGCCTTGCTGGAGTCATATACTGGCTTCAGTAATATCCTTTATAGTTCATTGTGCCGAGACATTGCTCACGCGCGTGAAAAGAAAAGGGAGTCCACAATGTTGTGTTGCAACGACAGGCTCGGAGACGTACGTGATAGGGTGAAGATGCTTTCCGGAAAGCTCTGCAGTGGCCTGCTG